ACTGGCACAGGGTGCCCAGAGAAGCTGTGGCTGCCCCATCCCTGGTAGTGCTCAAGGCCAGGTTGGACACAGGGGCTTGGAGCAAGCTGCTCCAGTGGAAGGGGTCCCTGCCCATGGCAGGGGTTGGAGCTGGAGGAGCTTTAAGGCCCCTTCAACCCAAACCATTCCCTGGTTCCATTTCCTCCTGCCGGGGTGCCCGAGGTACCAGTTTAACCCGCGGGTCTCTCAGCCACGGGAGGCTCCCGACGCCGTGCCCGGGCCCGTCCTGCGGCGGTGCCTCCGCTCGAGGCAGCCCCTCATTACCCCCCTCCCGCAGGGGCGCGGCGGGGCGCGGGGCCCGGCGGAGGCGGCGCTGACATCACTGCTCGTTAGCATAGGCCCGGCCCGCGGTCGGCGGCGATGGCCGAGCCGGGCTGGCCCCCCCCCCCGCCCGCGCCGCTGCCCCGCTCCCCGCCGCGCCGCCGCCATGAGGCGGCCCTAGCAGCGCGGCGCCGGGGGGATGAAGCGGGACTCGACCTGCATGGAAGGTGAGCGGGGCCGGGCCCAGCGCCGCCGGCCTTTGTTCGGGCGGCGGCCGCCGGGGGTGCGCGGCCCGAGGGCGAGGCCAGGGCCGGGCCGCGGAGCTGCCGCAGCCGTGAGGGGGTTTTTCCCCCTTTTCTCTCCGTGTTCTGCGAGCTGCGGGAGGGGGGGTGTGTGTGAGAGCGCGGATTATGTGGTTAAAAACGAGGGGGAAAACGGGGGTATTAGTTTGTTTTATGGGTTAATTTGTTTATATTTTAAACTTCCTAATCGCTTTGACCATCTGGAAGAGCTTTTTTTAGTATCGTTAATTATTGATAGCATCGGGGTCATGCAGGCACTTGATAACGAAGCTCATCTCTCCAGGGACTAGCACTAGTTCACTGATATTTTACAGCGTTTCTTCCCCCTACCCCGTGTTTGGAGACAGGGGCAAAGCTCTCCTCCGGGGTGAGGACGGGATGCTGAAGGGAAGCACGTTGCTGTTCGGGTAGCACATCCTGAAAAGTCATTATTTTCAGCCGTGCCGAGGCCCTGCCTCCCTGTGGGCAGGGGCTGCTGCCTTTGGTGGCTATGGGTTAATCTTGGGTTTTCTTCATTGTGCATCATTCGCAATCGTTGCACGTTGATAACTTCAGTGAGTGCAAGGGGGTTATTTTCAGTCAGTTTTTAATCTTGTTGCTTTGTAATGTATCGATGTGCAGAATATAGAGGCTAAGTAAGGCAGGGTTCGATTCAGAGCGTGTGGCCGTGCTGGAGTGAGGGCGAGGGGACCCTGCAAAAAGCTTTCTTTTTCTGGAATTGGGCTTAGGGACAGTCTATCGCTGGGGAGAGCGGGTGCGAGCTCGGAGCGGATCCATAGACAGAGCAAGCATGGGTCGGGATGCAGGGAGACCCTCAGGCCGCTCGCAGCCGCTCCAGCCAACGGGGGCACATTTTGGTGCAGTGGCTTTTGTTCCAAACTCTTTGTGCAACAACCGGTTGGAGCGAAGGATCAGGCCCGTCCGTTCTCCCTGTGCCACACAATGGAGTGGGATAAGGACCTCCGGGGCCAGCGCTGGGTCCCATGGGGCGCGGGTGCTGTGGGTCACAGGGCTGGGTGTTGGGGTGAGGGGGAGAAGCAGGGACAGGGGCTCCCAGCCTGGCCGGGAGAAGTTGCATTTCACAGATGAGTTTTTGATATGCAAATGGTGATTGGTCCCAGCCCCAGGAAGGGAAGGGTGACGGGTTTCATCAGCTGCACACTCTTGATTTATAGCTACCCGAAAAAGAGCAGCCGATGGTTTCTCTTGGTTTTTTTTTATGAGGGTTTTCATTTGACTGAACTCTTCCCTGGCAGAAACAAACCCAGTGTGGAATAAGACTGTGAGGTTTGTGTTTAATCACTGGAAAGGGAGAGCAGCGCTGGGATGCGCTCGGCCGTTCCCCTGTTGCAGCATTTCTCCTCTTTTCGTACTTGGTTGGTGCTTTTTTAAATGTCTCCGTAAATAGAACATCTTTTTACAGTGCAGAGAATAAGGTTGGAGGCAGCCTTTCCTTCCCCCTCTCTTTTTTATCTTAAAGGACTTGGGGAGGCTTGTCCATTTAAATTAACCTTTATCCCAGCTGGGCACACAAATGTTTTTGTTTTAGTTCACAGAGGGTTAATTCTATTCAGGCTCCCACCATGGCCAGCCTGAGCCGGGGCAGCACAATCTGCTCTTTAAGCCCAAGAAGGATGCTGGTGCCTTTGCTCACATCCAGCGTGGGGCTGGGATCCCCCATTGGGGTCCATGGGGGAACAGGAGCGGGATGTTCCAGCCCATTGTGCACCCAGCCATGGGCCCGGCTGCTGAGGTCGTTGCTGTCCTGGGGAGGGGCTGCTGAACAGAAAATTTAATCCCTGTGTTCATCGATTATAAGTTAAAGAAAAGCCCCTTAAGCAAAAAAAGCCCAGTTTTGGGGTTGGGCTTGTTTGGACAATGCAGCACTCGGCAGCAAGGGGGGAGTTACACCAATTGTGCCTTGAATTTATCAAGATGCTTTACTCGAAACTAAAAATTGACACTGAAAAGATTTGTTAGGGAAGATAAGGGGAAAAAGAAACCTTAACACGCTTGTTTGTGCTTGAGGCATCATCAGAGGCCAGCGAGGTTTGGGTAGGATTTAAGTAACACATGTGTGAGATCTCCCCCTTCTGCTCCCCCTCTTCAAACAGCTGGTATTCAGCAGCTTGAGATTTAGACCCAGCTAAAGGGTACTGCAGGGCCTGTGGGATAGGGCCAGTTAATCAGGAAACAAATAACTGATACACAGTTGAAAAGATGTTAAATACATGAATGAATCGCAGCGCTGAGTGTGGTCTGAAAACCTTTTTTCAGCTATGAAAGATTTTCTTAGCTGTAAATCCTGTTCTGGGGTAGAAATGGAGGAAGTTTGCAAACTGCAGCTTTGCAGCGGGACCAAATCCCAGCTCGAGGAGTTTGGGTCAGGGTTTGTGCCTTTCCTTTTGGCCTCACTCTAGGAAATAAAGGCTTTGTCTCTGCTCCATTATAAAGCACCGATGCTACAAGCCACACAAGCTGGCTGCACAGGCACACAGTCCTATTCCCAAGGAGAAGTATCAGGGAGCTGTGGTTGCTGTACCGTTTTAAACTGCATCTGCAGGGGTGGGTGCGAGCCTTCTCGCAGCCATGGGGGACCACGGAGATGAAGCATCTGGTTCCCTCCAGGAATGCCGCCGCGCTGCCCGCCTGCTCTAGGAACACCACAGGCGCTTCCCGGTAGCCTGCTCGGGGTGTTTATCCACAGGAGCCATACAGGTGGGAGCGGTGATGGAGGTTTGCTGGGGGCTGGATGCCTGTCCTGATACTTTACTTGATTTGCTGGGTATTTTACATGCTCTTTCATGCACTCATGAATTCATGCTCTTTCGTGTTTTCTGTGCGTGTCTTTGCCCTGGCTTCAGCAGGATTCAAAGGTATTTCCTTTTGGAAATCCATAGGAATTTTCTTCTAAAAATTACCAAAACTACTCATTTCACTGAGGGGGAAAAAGCAAGACTTAAAAAACAAGCGAGCTGCTTCTACTGTTTCCCTTATAAAACAGACAAGGAGCGATTTCTTTTCTGTGACTCTTGTATAACATCATAATATTCTTGGGCGAACTTACATTGTATTAAAATGTGGTATGAAACCTACCATGACCCCTGCAAACAATGCAGCCTTTAATGTGGCTTCGGGGAGGGGTTAGCGAGGGAGTAGCCATAAAAATCTTCAGGGTTCAAGATGAGGTTGAGATTTTTTTGTGAGTGCTTTTGTCGTAGCAGCAACTGTTTGATTTAGTGGCCCCTGCTACAATGGCTGGTGAGAACAAAGCCGCAATATCCCGTGTATGAGTTCGTTAAATGTAAGCCCCGTCAGGAAGATTGGGGAAGGAGCTTCCTCCGCCTTCTCTCTGAAATAAAACACGTGCAAAAGGTATTTGTAAAAACTTCTTATCAACTGCTTTGTTTCCTGATCTACGTTGTTCTGTGTGGAAATGAGTGAGAGGTACCAGAGACAGAGGAGGGAGGGTTTATTTGCTTTAAAATCACCATACTTCCTACGTGTTTTGATGCTCTAGTGAAATTTCAGGGTTAAGGGAGTTCAGAGCACCCCCAGCACAAAACTGCTTTAAATTTGCCTCAGCTGTACCATTTCTGTGAAGTTGGCTGCGATTCTGCCCCGGCTCTCCCACCGATTGCCTACACAAGGCGCTTGCATTAAGTAGGGTGAAAAATAGCAAAGGTCAGGAGCCAGCAAACCCATGGGCCGCAGGGGGAGCGGCCTGGGCCCGGTCATGGTTCCTACAGGATTTTTTAGACCTCTGAAAGCCTCAGACTTTCTGTAGGTGATTCTTTTTTACCTGGCACTTCAGTGTGAGGGGTGGTTTACAGGGTGTACGGGCAGCTCTGGAGTCCCTGGAGGTCCGTGTCTTTGTTCACAGTGCGTGCTGCTGTTCTACCATGCGTTTTAATCTGGAAACACCCCCAGTTAACAGTTTCCTTAGGGAGACCTGTGTGGTTCTTGTGGATGGCGCCATTCACACCACCTCGCCCTCACCCTGCTAGCGGGTAGATGGAGATGGTGAGAGAAGGATTCTCATTCCTCCTCACTTTAATCATCCAGGCTTCCCTGTTCGCCAGGCAGTGGCCCTATTCTTCCCACAACAAAAAAGCTGTGCCTGAAAGTGAGCCCTCATTTACATCCTCAGCCATCAGCGTGCTGGGGTGAGGAGGGAGCCCTGCGCCCCACCGTGGGATGAGATCCGCTGCGGGCTGCAGCGCTGGGGTTTGATGCTGCAGCCATCCCCAGCGTCCTCTGCCTTTTCTGTGTGTGCAAACCGGTACTTTCATGGCTCCCCAGTTCCAGCCCAGCCTGTCGGACCATGGCACAACATGCCCAGCGGCCAGCACGGACACTGCTGCTGACCTCGGGATCCCCCAGTGCCTGCGATTTATGGCACTGCTGTTGGGAGCAGGGGGAGGGCCAGGAGTTAAGCTGGGGCTGAGCTAAACCCTGCAGATAGAGGACTCTTCTGTCCTAGGCTAATCCCCTTGGCCCCCTCCCAGCATTTATCAGATAGCTGAAGGTAGAGATTATGCCCTTGGTGACTGCAAAGTCATGTTTAGCTGCCTCCCTTCAGCAAGATGCTCCGATAGCCTCAGCCCTGATCTGTGCCAGCATTCCTTTGGGGCTGCCTTAAGCACATACCTGAGGTTGTCTGTCCTGTAAAACTGGGAACGTTTTAGTGTGGTGGTGACAGCGTGAATGTTTTTTAGTTAAAGTTGGAGTTTCCTTCATTCATCCTTTTATTGTAAGGTTTTACAGCAATTGCACTGAAACTTGCAGAAAGGTGCAAATCTGCTTGCTGTGCAGTAGCAAACCTTTTAAAGATTAACACAGATTGCTAGTGGTTTCTCCTGGGTTTAAACTGTGGAGGAGGTTGCTCATGAATGAGAGAGCAGCTGGTCTGGATGTTTACTTGGTGTGTGTAACTGAAAACTGGTTTCATTTCTGATTCTACTACATTTAGCTCATTTGTTTCTGTTGCGTTCCCCAGTAGTAAGAAGCTATGCACTGGTTTCTCAGGTTGCTACCACGACTGCTTCGTGGTGTCTCCCCCAAGCACTGCCATGTACTCCTGATTTCCCCGTTATTAATTTGATTGTAGCTATCCTGTGAGCTCCTGCCCCAGAGGAGTTTATCTGCAGTGGTTTGAACAGTTGGACACAGAGGAATTGTGCACAGCACAGCCTGTGTCCACAAGGCAGGCTCTGGAAAGCATATGCTCCTAAGCAGCTTGCCTTTAACTACATGTGCTTAAATACACATATCATACAAACTCCAGGGAGAAAGGACAGGACTCAAGTTAAACTTCGGATACCCAAGGCTTGTCTGGAGGACTATGTGCAGCATCCATCCCCAGGGAGCTGCAGAGAACTGTTGTCACCTCCTAGGTCCTGCTCTAGCTGTGGGTATTTCTGCCTGTTGGAGATTGCACTGTTGTGTGTTCAAGCCAAGAAATACCGGAAACAATCTGGTGTAACCAGCACCCACAGGAAATGCTCGACTGAGTGGAAGACAGAAGTGGGGTTCCTCGAGTCCCATTGCTCTAAACCAAAGCAGTGTCCTTTCTGTTCCTCAGTGCCACCACCTTGCTCAGCCAGGTTGATCTGTTCATCCATGTAATGCTTACGTGACATTTAGGAAAGCAGCCCCATGAAGTACACTGCAGGTTGGTGTGTAACCCTGCACACACTTGTGCCGATCTTCAAAGTGCAGCTCTGTTTGCATCTGCTGAGATACTAATGGGTTAAAACACTGGGGCAGGGAAGGCAGATTGTCCTGGTGTGTGAGGGGTCAAGCTGTTTGCCTGTGCTAAACATCTGCTACAGAGAAAGCTGCTGGTGCAACTTGCTGGCATCATTTTAAGTGTAGCTGCCTGTTGATGTGAAGCAAGGTTTAGGCCTCCCTGTGCACATGAGTGAGGATCCATCTGGGTTCTCTTCTGCCATCATGTACTTTTTCCTTTCTCTTTGACACCCGTGTGTGTGGAGCTCAACTGCTTGCTCACAGGTTCTCATCATTCCTGCTCTGTCTCTCAGGCAGTGTTACAGTCAGAAGATACTGAATTTAATGTGACAGCTCCTGTTGCTCGGTGTCCTCAGTATTCATTTTTAGCCATCAAAGGCCTTCCAAAGATTTGGAAAAGGAACAGTAAAATCACATCACTGTGTGATTGTTTTTGTACTAATATTCACTTGGGCTCTGGACATTGATGTCTGTCGTGAGGCTTTTGCTGGTGCAGCCGGAGCTGCAGGAGGAAGCAGGGAGGTGCTTGCCCTGGGAATACACAAGGTGTCACAGCATTTTGTGTGCGCTGGTGTCTGCCAGGCACGACTTCTGTATTTACACACCCCGGCCTGTGCAGCCAAGGTAGGGCTCTTCATACCCTGTTTCCCCTCAACGTTCATGTCAACAACAGCATGAAGTTCAGTGAGGGCTGCTGGGGAGAGCCACGTTGTCACCCGTGCTCCAAGTGTCCAGTCACGGTGTTGGGAAGGTGAGAAATGGAGCCTCCCCTTGCAGCCATGTGCTGCTGCTCTCTGGTGCTGTGCCATGGATCTGCAGGAACCTGACAGTGCCTGCTGCTTCATCAAACTGACCTAACAGAAACTCAAGGGGTTTCCTACTGAGTGTCCACAGTGGGTGCCAGCATCACTGGGCACCAAGCGCAATGTCCAGAGAAAAACCCTCTATGTTGGGAATAAACTTCTGGGGCAGCACAGCATGCTTATGCCATGATGATGAGAAAACAGCATCCATTTCTTTGCTCTCCTCTCTATTCTTTGTTAAGGGAATCCATAAGGTATGTCAGGGAAGCCACATTTGGCCCCAGGGTGACAGGGTTTGACCTGCTGCCTATGGAGGTAGAAAACCCTGATCCGTGGCAGAAGCAGGCATTGGCAGCAGTGTGGCCTCTTATGGCTGTAGTGTGCTCCTCACGATCTAAACAGCACTTTGTTTCCCAAACTAAAGGTGGTGAGGAGTAAAGGCTCCTCACCAGAGGCACAGAGCCGGTGCCTATGGCCCGGCTGGTGAGACTGGTGTTCTATGCCACGTTCTGCTTTGGGAACGCCTATCCAGGCAGGCCACGGCATGCCTTTCTGATTCCCCTCAGGAGAGTCTCTGATCACTCAGTGAAGCTGTTCTGTTGACCAGAAAGCCTTTCCTCTTCTCTTGCAGATGAGCGGGTGGATCAGCGAACCTGCCTGATCTGCGGGGACAGAGCGACGGGGCTGCACTATGGGATCATCTCCTGCGAGGGCTGCAAGGGGTTCTTCAAAAGGAGCATCTGCAACAAGCGGGTTTACAGATGCAGTCGGGACAAGAACTGCGTCATGTCACGCAAACAGCGCAACAGATGCCAGTACTGCCGCCTGCTCAAATGCCTCCAGATGGGGATGAACAGGAAAGGTAAAGAACACTGGTCTTTTTATAGGGGAAGGTACAGGTTGGGACCTGTGTTAGCAATGTGAGCTGCCCAGCCTCAGCTGCCATTCTCTATTGCACTTCTTCCTCTCAAATTCTGCACAAGAAAAAGAGAAGTTTCAGCAAAACGATACATGGATAAAAAATCCTTTCTGAAGTACTTTGTTACTGTATTGGAGGAAAGATCTGTATGAATTGAAAACATGTCTAAATATTTGGAGGACTGATTGTTGTGATCCCTTTTTTTCAGGGAAGGTGATTTACAGTCCTCTCTAACATCTGACCTTGCATTTTCCCTGATCAAAATGGTCACTGTTTTTATACCTCACTATACTAATGTGGCAAAAATCTGTGTGTTTAAATAGACTTTTAAAATGCCAAAGAGATCTGAGTCAGATTTACCTGTTTATTTTGTGAGCTTTGACCTGCAGCTGCTCCACAGTGATGGGGGTCTTCACTTACCACCTTTCTCTGGTTGATGAGGCACAGTGGTGTGGGGCTGGGAATGCCAAAGGTGGTTTTGCCAAGTACGAGGTCACTGAGGAGCAGATGTGATCTGGGATAGGGACAGCCACCCCTTAGTCCCCCTATGTACAGACTGATGAAATGCTACAGTATCATCTTCAGGATGGAAAATCTTTATTAGCTCAGAAATTAGTAATAAAAAATAGACCAGAATAGACTCTTCACTCCAATCTGTTGGCTTTTTAATCTCAGGAATTGTTACCCATTGAAGGCAGAGATTTGTTGTTTTAATGGCAACTCGCAGGAGTTGGAGCAGGAGTGGGTGCTGCCATAGCACAGTAGCTGGTCATGCTCCTTTCCCTCCTGGATGTGCTGGTGGGGTGGCGAGAGGGACCACTAAACAAGGGTGTCATCTCATGTTTTTTAAATGTAGCTATTGATGCCTTCAGTGTCATCCTTCATGTGAAAGCCGCCTGTCAAAAGCACTAAAACTTCCATCAATTTACTGCAAATCCGCCAGGATCTTTCTTAGGAAGGGTATCTTGGGGCTGAGATGGAAAGCTTATCTCCTGACCGCTTTGATTACAAATGATTTCTGGGAGTTCCACTTGCTGGGGACCACAGCTGAGCACCCGGTGATGAGAGCGCAGCTCAGGGCAGCCAGAACCTGGCTGGGAACGTGTATCCTAAGGGTCTGCAGCGTGAATTGCTCTGCTCTCATGGGATCTTGCCGCTCCGGGGGCGGTGTTTGGGGTTTTATAAGCCACATCGCTCCCTGCCCGCGCAGCTCACCCGCGGGGGCAGAGCGCCACCTCCTGGCCCGGTCTCCACCCTGCTTCCCTCTTCTTTCCTCCGATAGCACTTGGAAATCAAAAGATCCGGACAATTTCCATCCCTTGCTCACAGTGCCATTAGCTGAGAAGCTTTATGGATCACAAAATAGTTTGGAAAAGTAGAGAAATTCCCCCCAAAATTGGAAAACAGTTACTGTAGTTCCATTATGTTAGAAAAACCCCTAAAAGGAGTAACAGAGAGGTAACTGGGACAGCTCAGTTTTGTATCAGTCCCTTTTCTTTCCATGAGAAACTAAGGGTTTTTTGGAAAGAGCTTGCATAGAACAGCCATATTTGTTAAAAAGACCATGTTGTCTTGTTGTATCTTAAGAGATTTCTGTGTTATAAATGTAACCACAGTCGGTTTCTCTCCTGTGTTTGTGGCTTCTGCAGTTTGCTTACTGAATGCTGCCTGGCATTTAAAATAAAACTACTTGCTGTTACATGGGGGTGATAGAGTTTGCAGTAGAAGGATTGAAACTGCATTTCTGATCTCGTAACATGTTGTTGGAAGGTGCCACAGGGGTGGTTGTAAATCATCAGACATTTTGTAGTGATGTGCATTGATTGACGAGGGGGTTATGATGCAGGAAAACGCAGTTTAGATGCCTTGCTGTGATTGCATTAGCTGAGTGTGTGTAATCCCCGAGCTGCAAGCGCAGACGAGGATGATTTGAGCTGAGGGTATCTAAAATCAAGCAACAGACAAATTTTTCCTTACATTTTGTGTCATTTTCTGCTCCGGGAGGGCCTCCTGCAGCCCTGTGTGCCAAGCAGGGCCAGGCCAGCCGGCAGCAGCAAGGTCACTGTGCAGCTGGGGAGAGCCTCCTGCCAAGTCTGGCCAGGTCATGGTGGGAAAGAGATTGGGACCTGATAAACAGGGGGACCTGGCCCGGGAGAGGCAGCACACCAGGAGCAGGGCTGGTCCTCGATTGCTGTCAGCTTCTGCTGGCCTGCTCTGCCAATAAAGTTAAAAGCAGAGGGAAAAGGAAGGTGGAAAAGCCTCTCCAGGATAATCCCCTTAATTGGACTTTGTTGAAGTTCCTTGGAAATCGTTTAAAGAGCTTTAAAAATGCAGCTGCTCTATTGAGAAACTGGGCTGCCCTTCTGAAATGAAACTGCACAGCTCGGGCTAGTAACAGGAATGCTCAGTGACAGCTTTGTGTGCAGCCGGCTGGGTAAAATCTCCCCTTCATTTTCTGTGACAGCAGTAGAGATCTGACTCTCTGAAGTGACAGCAGTGTTAGTAGTTACCACTGAGGTGCTTTATCTCCGTGTTGCTGCAGCACTGGTTCATGTCTCCCCAGGTGGAGTCTGGCTCATGGTAGTTCATTGTGTGCAGTGCAGTTAGAAAGGCTGGTGTTCGCATGTACTTTTCTAGCTGTTGTGGGCATTCACTGGGTTATCTCCAGGGTGAAGCAGGGTTGCTTTCCATGTGCCATTTCTCAAATTATACTGCAATTAATTGTGTTAAAGAGTTGCTGTTCCTGCATCACCTGTCACTCACGGAGCACACAAGAAAGTAAACTCCCTGGGTAACGCATGTAGCTCCATCGATGTGTTCATGCTGTTAGGGTGAGGATCACGACATGTACAGCTCGATCTCTCCAGTGCCCTGGAAAGCACTGGAGGTTTCTGTGTAAACCGCTTTGATGAACAAAATGAATCTTTTAAAGCACAAAGATGTTTTCCTCAAAACAGTAGATACCTTCTTGTGTACTTCTGGAATACCCAACAGAAGCATTCCTCACCAAGAACCAAACAGTAGCCTTCCTCACCTAGGTTTGCTTGTTTTCTTTCAGCAATCAGAGAAGATGGCATGCCAGGAGGCAGAAACAAAAGCATTGGACCTGTCCAGGTGAGCATGTTCAGCTGTTTCTCCGTGGTTCCCTTCAGCTTTTACTCTCTTGCCCTTAGCACACAGCTCCTCTTGTGGTGGTGGGCTCAGACTGTGGCACCTTGGGATGATCTGATCGAGCCTTTCTCAGCCATGCTGTGGCATAGCAGGGCTTTGGCTCTCCACGAGCGTTAGAAATACATCATGAACTGTAGATTTGTAAATAAAGCTCGGTGCTTGCTTGTCCCCGCAGCAGTCCCAGGTGCCTGTGTGGATGCACGGCCAGGCTCGAGGCGCTCTGTCCTTTGTGAGCTGCACAAGGACGGCTCCACAGCTCCCAGTAAATCTCAGGGGCTGCCTGCTGCAATTCCTTCAGTTGTTGCAAGGGGGGCACCCGGTAAATGTCTCACTGATTGATGGCACAGCTTGTCTGGAGATGTCTTGTAAAGCACAAAGTAATTCAGCCCAACAGCTTGTACTGTACGCGTGAGAAATGATGGCCATTTCCAGCTTGCTTCTAGAAAAGAGGTCTTTTAGGACTTTACTATTTATTTTAATAAACTAGTAATAACACTGAAAGCATTTTCTGTGGCTCTGTGTGCCTGCGGAAAGACTGGTCACCCCAGCCCAAAACCAGGCCATGAGAAGCCAAGCAACCAGACACACAGCTTGTTCAGTTAGATTCTTCGTAGCAGACTGAGAGAAAGGCAAGAATCAGACAGTGCAGCCATGCCTGGGGTCAGCATCAGAGAGAGCCTAGCTCAAAGAGTAAAAAGTTTCTGTAATGGTAAAACATTCCTGCTGTTTGCAAACATGATATTTATAACAGCATTAGATCCTGGTTAAAGCTGAAGAGCAAACATTTCATTTCTGGCCAGGTAACAACTTTTAGCGCCTCTGTGAGCAATGTTTGGCTCTAATGATGTTCAGAGTGCATGGCACTGTCTTGCAGTGTGTTTACTCAAGGTATTTCCATATTATGTGACAGCCTCACAAAGGGACATACACAGAATTAGGAAAGCCCCACAACTTTTATGTTACATTTATCCCACTACTTGTGCAATGCTTCTCCAGTTTATACTTCAGTTGATCTGATTTTTTATTTTTTTAGTCTATTTTAGCTTCACATATATTACTCTCCCAATACTTGTTTTAAGTATTAGGTACTTGATTCTGTTGGGTGCCCCCTGGTTCTTCTGTGGGGGACAATAGTGAACAGTGATCCCCTGAAAGTGTTTTCCTGGCTAATTTTGTACGTCACCTTGCCTCTCTCAATTGCTTTATCAAACCAGAGCCTACCCCACTTTCCGTTTGCCTTTACCTCTGCCTCTACTGAGTGATGTTCCCAATGAGCTGGCCTCAATTACTCCCAGGTTTTTCACTGTGTGACAGCCGCTGATTTACGGGTTGTTGCTGTGTGTGTTTGACATCTTTTCATGTGTCCATTCCTGCCTACTGTGTTATCGTCACTTAAATTGTTCTGCTGGAGGTCACCACAATTAGCTGTAAATAGAATTTTTCATGTATGTTGTTAAATGTAAAGGAATGGCAAAACATTTCTCCTGGTATTGGGGTGATTTCCTCTCTGTTGGATGTGACCCTACGGTCAAGGTGTTTGCATACAGAGCTTCTGCCTTGTTCTTTCTCTCAGCTGAAGTAACCATAATAATCCTGTGCTTGACAGATATCAGAGGAAGAGATTGAGAGAATTATGTCTGGGCAAGAATTTGAGGGAGAAGCAAACATGTCATGGAGCAACAACGGAGACAGTGACCATAGTTCCCCTGGGAATGGAGTTTCTGAGAGCAACCAGCCTTCACCTGTTTCTACTCCATCTTCAAGGTGGGAATGACCCCTGGAAGAATTCCTTATGGCAGTAATCTTGACTGCCTTTCCCTGATTCTTACATCTCTAATTGTGTTTTAAGACAGCCACTGGATTGAAGAGAATTGAACTGGGAGGTGAAACCCTCATGAGCAAATGTAAAAGAAGGCAAAAAAAGAAATCGTATTTAAAATGTCTCTTAATATCAAGTCTTTTCTGCAGCTCATGGGAACTTGGTTACCTTTCACTGCTCATTCTGAATAAGCTTTTTCTGCACTGTGCTCAGATTTTGAACATAAATTACTCCATTTAGGTGACTGATTGATTGTGTTATATTAATGTCAGTTACTGTTAGTGCCAGCCTCCTGATGCAGCCTTCAATAGTAAACACAGCAAGCATCTCAGACTTGCATTCCATCTGCTTTCAGTTGCATCTTAAACTGGGAGATATTTGTGTTCACTGCTTGCATAAATACTTAGTTTACAATCTCAAATTCTAGCCTTTAAGGAAGCTGGGGTGGAAATGCTTTGATAATCTGAATGGTTGCTCATGGAGCCAGGCTCAACATGAGGCAAATATAAGTTGTTTGGTCTGCACACTCTAAATTATTCCCAGGGAAAGTTTAAATACAGAGGCATTTCTCATTCTGTTTTCTTTCCATATTTTTATTAACATTTCTGATGGAGCTAGATACAACCTTCTAATGAATTGGGTGGAATTTGGGGGGTATATTAAAAAGCTTTTCCTTTTCCAGTAGGTCCGTGGAGCTGAATGGATTCGCTGCGCTCAGGGATCAATATATCGGGACACCGGTGTCCACGCACTATCAGTACCTCCCGCACCTTTTTAGCTATTCTGCTCACTCGGCTCTGATGCCCCCCCAGACACGCAGCCTGGACCCCCAGTCGCACAGTCTTATCAATCAGTTGGTGTCAGCGGAGGACCTGGAGCCTCTCGGCACACCGATGCTCATTGAGGACGGGTGAGTGTGCACGGAGTGAGTGCAAGAGGCTGCCCAGAGCTGCCTGCTCCTGGATGTCCTTTTGGCCTGGCCCTCTCTGCCTGCACACACAGGGGCTGCTGACAGTGAGGGGGCTGCTGGGTGCATGTGTTCACGGTTTGATCGGCACAGGGAGCACGTTCCCTGGGAGAAGATGTAATCACAGTGCAAGCAGCAAACCAGACCTCAACCTGTGCATGCCCTGTGCCCTTGCCTGGGGCTGGAGCTGGCATGCACAGACCTTGTGTGGGGTTCCAGGCCACATGGCCAGGCTGAGGCTGTGCAGGAGTGGAGTTTGATGGGTTTCAGCCCTGAGACTACAATAACTGTACAGAAGGCCTAGTAATAAGCAAGGTAGCTGGCAAAATACACATAGGTGGAAAAAAGCTGGGTATTCTGTTCGTTAGTGAGAGCTGCAGGGCTCTCTGAGGCTGGGTGCTGGTAGGGTGGGTGACCCCAGCAGTTGGGGTGGCTCCTCTCGCATCCCTCAGCTGGGCAGGATGGGTGCTGACCATTACAGCTCCTGCAAAACCCTGGGAACTGGCACATTGGGCACTTGGACATGAATTCCTGTGGGGTTTTGGCTTGCTTTTCAAGTGCCTGGTCAAATGATGTCGTTCAATGTTTTTAATGGATTTTATGCCTTCATATTAACTGTGCCTGCAGGTATAAAGTGACTCAGGCAGAGCTGTTTGCGTTGTTGTGTCGTCTGGCGGATGAATTGCTTTTCAGGCAGATTGCTTGGATCAAGAAGCTGCCGTTCTTCTGTGAACTCTCCATCAAAGACTATACCTGCCTGCTCAGCTCTACGTGGCAGGAGCTCATCCTGCTCTCCTCGCTGACTGTTTACAGCAAGCAGATCTTTGGTGACCTTGCAGATGTCACCTCCAAGTATTCTCCTTCTGATGATGAGCTGCACAGGTGAGATGACAGGCTGAGTCTGTGGGTAAGGGAGTGAGATCTAGTGCTGAAGGAGATGGTGGGTGCCCTGTGACCAATTTGCCACCTCTCCCAGGACAGGTCATTTCACCTGCAGCTGTTTTCAGTTTTTTTAGGTAACACAAGGGTAGAAAATATGCCATGGTTAGACAGTATTGAGTCAAAACTTCCTTCTGCAGGGGAAGGTACGTGATGCTGTTTGAATTTCCTGCAGCGATGCTGTTGTCCTCCAGCACAGCCCAATGAACTGCCTTTTTCATGGGGAGAGTAAAACTAACCAACACTTTGGGTAACCCTGAGATTCAGGACAGACAGTCTTATTTAAAAACCCTTTGGACGTGTGGGAAGGTTGTTCTTAAAGCTGGTTATCTGCATTATCAAAGTGTTCATTATTAATTGCTGTTTCTTTGTTTTGATTACATAAATTTAAAAGATGTTGCAACTTAGCTCTTGTTTTTTCCATATCATTTACTGACTGGTGCTCTGAGGAGCTTGCTTTTCATTTATCATTTTGGTCAGGGTGTTGGTTTTTTGGTCTGGGTGGGGTTTTTGCAGTCTTGGTGCCAGACAGATCCTCCTTCTGGTAGCAGACTCACAATTTCACATTATTATGGCAGAATAGGTAGGGTTTATGGAAACTGCTGCCCACCCTGCACTCTGCCCTTGCTAGGTATGGTGATTTTGCACGAGCCACCAGGGGATGTAAGTGATGAGCAGAGATTTAAAATACTGCTGTGGTCCTCAGCCATCGCAGGATCTTAATGGTTCTTTGAGGTTCCTTTGTGCATCTGTTTTGACACCCAGAGGCGCTGGCTGGCTGAGACCATGGTGAAGGAGTGGAGGAGCCAGGAGCTGGACCCAGCTGTCTCATTTCCTGGGGCAGGTTCCTTCCCAGTGCTGTTCTGCCTGGCCATTCATCATGCATCTGGTGCTGCTCCTGTAAGGAATAGTAAGGGTCATAGAAAACCACAATAACACTTGTTCCTGCATTCAGCTGTCCTTTTATTCCTGCTGTCCTGGTCAGAGCCTCAAAAGAGAAGTGTTTGTTTCCATTTTGGGTTTGTGATAAATACAAGCGAGAGTAAGACAACAAGACAAAGGAGGAATCCTCGCCCTTCAGAAACCAGCAATTCAGAGCTGGTCGCCTCAAAAGTCCTTCACAGAAGATCTGTGCACATGGATGAAAATAGATGTTCTCAGGAGTAGAATGTTTCTGCAGTCTCTTCTTCTGATTTATCTTTTCAAGTATCATTAATTGTCATCATGACATAGGAAAATGCACACCAAAAAAGCCATTTAGTGGGAAGTAGCACAGGTGAGGGGTCTCAGGCTGCATGGTTCCCTCCCAGTTGTCTTTATGGTAGTTCAGCTGTAGCTTGACTGTCTGCAGGTGGCAGTGGGATAGTTCATGATAGTTCATCAGTCTTCTGTCCAGTACACTTGCGGAGAAGCTGATCCCTTTGGATTTGGGAGGAGCTCTTTCAAAGAGGTGTCTGACTCATGGGCTTTCTCAAAGAGCCCCCATTTCCTCTGGCATTGATCAGTAATGACTGCAAACAGAAGTTCATTACATCTCACAGCTGGCTGAAGAAGTCTCACTGAGCTGCCAGTCTGGTACTTGGGGGTTAATTCTTGTTCTTACTTAGCAAAATGATGGGTGCAATGCTAATGCTTAGGTAGGTGACCAATGAAAGCATAGGATGAGCTCCCCAGGCCCTGTGTTTTAATCACTGCTAACAACTGGCTAAATGTTCTGTTTGTCTGCTAGATCAAATGTTTTCTTTCATTGTGCTGTTTTTCTGGAGATGAATATGAAATGAATAGATTCCTGACCTCCCCCAGCACTCCTGATAGCGCTTCCCTTCCCCCTCCTCCCCAGCTGATCCCGATAACTCTCAGCCAGAAACTTGCCTGGTGTAAACTGCGAGAAGTGTGTGTAGGAGTCAGTCCTCGAGAAGAAATAGGGCTGTGAAAAACAGAACCGCTTTGTTTGAAAGGGGGAGGAAAGTATGCACAGAAAAGTGAGACAGTTGAACTGCAGGAGTGAGAGAAGAGCTCTCCTGGATTTATGAAGTGATGAGTGGCTGGTAAAAATGTGCATGCTCTAAAAACAATTAAACCCAACACACAACTGAGTGGTCTTTGTGCTCATTAACTTCTTGAGCTTTGCAATCTTGCACCTGCACGATTTTTAATGTCAACTTGAGAGCAAGAAAACTTGTACAACTTTAGATTAGCCGACAAGGCTTTCATCACTTACAATATTGCTTTCTTGAAGAAGTGACCTGCAGTTCAGACAGCTTGTTTTCACTTCTCTGAGGTCAAACTCCACCATGCATTTTACAAATAACTTTGAAGTAAACAAACACACATGCCAAAATAAGGTATTCTTCAGTGAAAAAGGTTCTATTTTTTGCTCTATTCAAAGATGGCTTTCTGGTTGTGCTCGTATTCTTTGTGCTGTACAATGCCAGAGTGCAGCTGAAGCTTCCCTAAACACTTCTGTCCCACTTCTGAGTATTTTTGCAATATGTGGTGTCTTTGAAACGGGGGGTATTGCTATGAGATGTGTTTCCAAGAGGCTGTTCTGGCTGTTGGCCCATGTGGGATGGTCCCAGAGCGTGTCTGTGGGCACTGGCAGCAATCTGCTCTCTCCAGCTCCAGTTACCATGGCTTTATCATGGTGCACACATGAGGCATCACTCCTGAAGAAGCAGCCTGGCACCCCTATCAGCAGGAGGATCTCATTCTGCACCTGCAAAACCTCCATCGTGCAATCTCCCAGGAGATTTTGGGAAGATCTGCATTCCCTGTGCATCAGTGCATGCTCTCCAGCCCATCTCTCACTGGCTTCCCTTGGCAAGTGTGCACGTTGAGGAGCAAAACCAGCTTGTTTTCAGCAAATGGCACAGAATCAGAAATGAATGTAGCTCTGCCTGCTGAGATATTCCAGGGCTGGTATGGATTGTGGATCTAGATCCCAGCAGAGGATCCCTGACAGTGACACTAGCAGCAGTCCTTTCCTGTTTGCATCTTGATGCACATGAAGTGCAATGAATCCTGTTTGAGGGGGAAAGTTTAAAAAGAAGCAGCATGCATTCCTTGGACTTAGCACAATTCAACCTTAGGCCATCCCCTGCAGTTCCACTTCCTTTAACACTGGTTATTTGTGGTTTCATGTATATTTGTACTCGTGACAAGGATCCCAGCCTTCCTGCAATATGTCTCACCCCAGAAACTCTCAGCTGAGGAAAATGAACAAACCATAATGAACAGCTTTGTGGAAGCACAGGATCTCTGTGAGTCACTCCTGGGAATTTTCAGGAGGTGAGCTTCCTCACCTGTCTGTCAGATCAATGAAGTGTGTGCCACTTGTTGCACATGGGCCAGTGTAATTCCTCAGTGTTAAAACAAAGCTATTTCCAGCAGCACTCTACAGATACAGGAAATTGTAGGCACTTTTCCTATTGGAAACATACTTTGTTCCAGGAAGCAGTATCTGTGCAGCGGGATGTGGGCTCTGTGTGCCTGCAGTGCTGTATCACCGGAGGAGGCCCGAGAGAGACACAGTCCTCATTGAAACGTGGGGAAGTACAAGTGTAGAGAGGCAAAGCAGTGTGCGTACAGCACGCAAGCAGTTTGTGCAGATTTCTGGCTCTATCCAACCTTTTCCTCTCAGAGCAGGCTGGTGATGAACTGAATCCCCAAGAGCTGTTTTTTGCTAAAATATCTATAGCAGTCATGTCTGTGAGAGTAATTTTCCTTCTTAGTTCTACTTTAATAGTGGTGCCAGCAGACTTTGGGCAGTTTTCATGACAGATTTTGTTAAGTCTCCTTGAAGATGTTAAACTCTCTGAAGTTATTTTAATAAGCTTCTTGCCTTTATTGTATGGACTCTGTCCTGTCTACATTGATGTGTGATCTCTGTCCTCCAGATTCAGTGAAGAGGGGATGGAGGTGATGGAGCGGTTGATCTACCTCTTTCGCAAATTTAACCAGTTGAAGGTCAGCAATGAGGAGTATGCGTGTATGAAAGCCATTAACTTCCTAAATCAAGGTGAGTCTATGAAGAGGAGGTATTGGCCCCAGTGGAGAAATTCTCTGAAACCGTCTAAGCAGTCTTTGATTCCCTGATGAGAAATAAGAGGAAGGGATCTGATATCAGTGAAGAGACTCGAGCTCTGAAACTTCCATGTTTACCATTGTGTAGCCCATACACATGCAGAGCAGGGTACTTGGGTACCCACCTGAAGAAATCCTGGAAGTAAATGAATTCATTTGCTTAGACAATTTTTGTTGCCTTTAAATACAGGGAACAAGCACAGTAAGTGTGTCATTCTACATATTTACCATGGGTACCAATGCCAGGATAAGAACAGAGCAGGGACACTGGTGAAACCTTTCTGGATAAGGTTTGGGTGACTTACCAGCTGCTAACAGACTTTTCATCTAAAAGTATTATTGCTTTAGATAATTGTTTAGCTATTAACTGAAGGATATTTTAAAGCCAGTTAATTGGCATCACTTTCTTTTCCTGAAGTAAATGTTGGCTGTTTGCATAACAAGCTTTTGAAGATTCCCAACTAGAAAATGTATTTGTTCCGAGCTTTTCTGGCTATTTAAAATGCCAGGATATATATCTGTATAAAATATATATATAAAATATGTGTGTATATATATAAATATATAAAATACACATAAAATATAAATATCTATAATATATATATGCCAGGATATACATATTTAAAATTCAGGATATATACTTAGGTCATCTAGCTGGCTTCCTGCTTTTTAGATGCTACACCTAATGCTAACTCTTCACAGGGAAAAGTAATCCCAAATGAAGTATTTAGGTGCAGGCAATGAATTGAGCCTAAGAAGGGACTGTTGACTAACCAGGGTATTAAAGCTGGCAGTCCAGGCTGCTGCAAGACCCTGGACATTTCAGAATCCATGCAGAGTAATTCTTCAACATGTGAGAAGACCCTGGTCGCTGCCTAACAACTGCAGAGGGCTGGAATAGTTCAGGATAGGTTGTGTTTGTTCCTCAGAAGTGCCTATCCCTGTCTCCACTGTTGCACAGCGTCTCAATCCACTGCTTGCTGGTCGTTTGTTGTGGCCCAGTGTCAACGTTTCTTCGTGTTGTAAAAGAAGAGAACTGTGAGAGACAAAGCTCAATGGATGGCGTTGAGCTGTGATTTTGGAAATAAATGTCCCCAAAGTCTGTTGTGGTGTGAAAGATAGTTGCAGTCTGTAAAACCGTGCTGCAGGCTCTCTCCTCCCCCACTCATTTCCAGCAGGAGATAGTGCTGACGCTTCAATCTGTGCCGGGCTGAGGTTCCGGTTTGCTTCCCTGGGCAGTTTCCTGACACTGGATAATACACTTCTCGAGCTGTCTCCATTGTTTTCCAAAATGTATTTTCATTAACTTCCTGTCTTCTTTTATTTTTAGTTGAAGTTTGCAATTTTTTATGTGAAATACCTGAGAATTATTTTTAAAAGTCAGCTTTTGGGCAGTAGATAAATGCCTCTTCCGTCAGATGGTTTTACAATACGACTCTGTACTGAGGGTCTGCAGCTTCCTTGCTCCACGGCACTGGATCCTTCCCAGGACTCCCAGCAGCATGCCGATGCTGTTGATCACACTGAAGGGTGGCAGTTGTACTTCCTGCCCGTTTGATAGCTTGGAAATGCCCATTTTTCCTCTGTGCATGTTACCTGACATTGGCAAAGCTAAATTTAAAAACAAGAAGTTGACAAGTTTATAAAGCTCATATGACATAATTCATAAACAGATGGGGAGAAATATGATGATACCGTGAATTATAGAGTTGAGTGCTTTCCTCAGGCAGGATGATATAGCTAAAATCAACATGTTTCTGTCTGAGGAAGTATTACGCTGCATCTGCTGCGAGGACTAAACCTTGACATACAGCTGCTTTACACCAGGCAGATGGGGATTTAAGATTGCTGGAGCTGTTATCTCCAAATGCGTTTGTTGAGCTCTGCAGATGAGCACTTTAAGACAGTAGCTGTTCTCATCTTGGCCCTCTGTGGAAGGAAATCCTGTGCCCAGACATAGGTGTAAAGATGCATAGGAGATGCGGGCATGCCAGGAGGGGAGATGGGAATTCCAGTAGTTGCCTAACTGGGCAGTCTCTGAAGCAGGGACAAAGCTTAGAGTTATAGAAAACAGTCTGTCTTTCCTGAAGAAATGGCAGTAAGTCCAAGGCTGCTGCTCTTCTAGGATGTTTTTGTCATGTTTTCATTCATTGCTCTAATTGTATTCCCTTTCAGATATCAGGGGTTTGACCAATGCATCCCAACTGGAGCAGCTGAATAAGCGGTACTGGTATGTTTGCCAGGACTTCACAGAGTACAAATATCCCCACCAGCCAAACCGTTTTCCGGATTTAATGATGTGTTTGCCAGAGATACGATATATTGCAGGTAACTTTTGAGCTCTTTTCCCACGGGATCATGTACAAGTTACGAAATTCACTTCTTTTGAAACAAAACAATTTATAACAGTGAAAATCTTGCCAACTTTGGAGGATGTGTGTGTGGGACCTTCTGTCAAAGCTCCTCACCCACCTTTAAGCCCATCTCCCATCAGCTCTAGCTCACCGAGCCAGACTGGCTGTTTGCAAGCTGTCCTTGTAATGCTGGCAGATGCAGTGTTACGTCCTGCTCCAAAAAGACATGCCTTGCTTTGACCTGCTGCCCTTTAAGTACCATGGGGGGTTCTCCTTTTATTTTCCTCCTTTCAATCCCAACTCAGAGGCATTTTGCCTTAAAAGGGTGCAATCCTGATTTGAGTAGTAATAAGAAACAGAGAGCCCTGAAATGGTGCTTAATTATGGAGCAGATGGTAGAGAGAGCAGTGGGCAGATTCACAGTGTAACCCCGAGGTTTCAGCTCATTTGGACCTCTGAAATCCGCAGGTGAACTTTCAGATGCAGTTGTGTCACTAATTAGGTCTACAAGGTCTGGTGTTACTAAAACATTGTTTGTTCCTGAATGTTATGGCAAAGGGAGATACTTGCCTCCCTGTGTCAAGGCTCTGTGTGCTTCATCCTACTCTGTCGTAATGAACAAGATAATAATCACAGAGTAGCTCTCATAATTTACTCATTGAGATCAACAAGGGAGTTTGAGGAGAGACAGGATTTAGTCTTTCCCAGTTTCTATAAATACTGCTCCATTGTGGAGAAATCATTTTGATCTGACTTTGACCATTTATTTTGCTTTCTATTCAGTAAACAATAAATCCTGTTGTGTCCAAATGAATATCAAATGTCTAATGTAGCAGTAGGATGATTAACTGTTTCTCTGAGAGGTTCAAGGTAAAACCATTGCTCGCCTTGCTGGCTTAGGTGTCTCTGAAATCTGATTCAGGAGTGGCTGCTAATTCTGGTTTTTCTCTTACCAGGAAAAATGGTGAATGTTCCCCTGGAGCAGCTGCCTCTCCTGTTTAAGGCTGTTCTACATTCCTGCAAGACGAGTGTGAGCAAAGAGTGAGCCCAGCTTGGCCAGGCCAGTGCTTTACACTGTGCCTCGGGCAGGGAGCTGGCTCACCCTGGGAGAGGGGCAAACGCGATCCAGGCAGGAGCCAGGGCAGTGGTGTCCCTGCTGTTGTAGCAAGAATCTTTTTTTGTTTGGTTTTTTTTTGTTTTGTTTTGGTTTTTTTTACTCTTTTTCCTATATATTTATTTCACGACAGAGTTGAATGTATGATCTTCAACACGATGCACATGGTTCTGTATGAATGCAGCAGATGCATTCTCCAGCGGTTTACAGAATGTGAAGATGTTTAATGTTACAGTGTTTGTTAGGGTTAGTTCTTTTGTATTTGGGGGCTCGGGACCAAGATGACTAAGACTACCTCAAGGAGAAGATGCTGTTTGTGCACTGCTCTTTCCATGATTTGTATCCAAAAGCATTTGTCGTAGAGAGCAAATGGCCTCACTGCATCGACAGAGCTGTTAGTATCCCAGATGGACGATTTTGGTGAAGTGGGTGTTAGAGAAGTGCCAAGCTTTTTATCTTTAAATATAATAATTTTTAAAAGGCTGGAAGTGGAGAAGAAGGAAAAGTCTCTCTAGCCAGTTGGTTTCTTTTCCCCCTGGCAGTTTTCAAGTGCAGGTTTAGTTCCTGCAGTTTCCCTGAATCCTGCCCCAGTGGGATAAATATTCCCAAGCTTGCAAGGGGCTCAGTGCTCCTGTCCCCTCCTGGGAGCTGCAGGAGTGGGCTCTGCCCCAACCCCAGCCTAACCCACTGGCCTCTCACTGTTGCTGCAGCACCTCTCCATTCGACTGAAACTGCATTGCTGCAGTTCATAGCAGGCTCCTGGCATTATACAAAGGTACTCTTGTTGCTGGAGAACTGCAAGTAATTTCTTGTCACTTCCTTAACATCCATTTTAGGCTCACAAAAGCAGGAAAACACTACTTAGAGAAGAGGCAGGATTGCCCCTTTGAGTGTGTTCCTCCAGGGTGGTATCTGACTACTCAGGAGGCTTCTGAATTGCAGCAATCCCAGTCTGTTTCTGGCAACAGTTAATGTACCCTGTGATTCAGTGTGACCTGTGTAATGGGGCAAGGGACTCCAGTGTTCTCTGGCATGGCTTTCTCTGCTGGACTCGGGGAATGCATAATCCATACTCGTATCCTGCCAGAACTGTTTTGCTGCTTGTGGAATTCCTTCTACCAGGAAAATGCTATTAATGCAGTACTTGGTAAACTGTTCTGTCCTAGGTGTTGCAGGGCTTGCATTTTCCATCTCACAACCTCCACACTACTCCACTGCATGGAGAGCTGGGTTAATCACAACTGGTTAGCTGCTTGAGCAATTGCTAAGTGCTGTTGTTTTCTAAACTTGGGTATTCTTATGAGTAACATCACAGCTTCAAGCTCGTGGTGGTGGTGGTGAGATTGGATGAGACACCTTGTTCTCATCTCCTTCATTCAGAATTAACATTCAAAGACCCAGTCACTCTCCTAGGCAGCTGTGTTGCCCTGGCTGGATTTCCTTCCCTGTGTCCTTAGATATGAATCTGATGTAGCAAGAGGGTTCATCAACAAATGTTTGAATGCTGTTTTAAAAACACTTTGGGAAACAGCTTCTGTTTCTTCAGGGTAAGAGGGACCACTTGCTACCTTTTTGTCTTGTGCTGATGAAGGCACAAAGTGAGTACTGCTCAGAGGTACTGAAGCTGCTGTGAGATGAATGTGATGGTGATCAGGAGAAAAACCTCATTCACCAAAGTTGTCTTTCCTTCCCCTTCACCCAGCGGGTGCTTCCTCAGTTGCAGCCCAAGAGATGCTGTGACCCACTGGCTTGGCACATCTCTCGCATAGTCGGCAGCCGTGGTCTCACGCAGGGAACCCATGGCAGCAATCCCGCTTGGGCATCTTCCAGCTTGATGGTTTCCCTTTCCTAAAAGTCCACTAGCTGCTCATTTTTCATTATTTAAATAGGATGTTACGGGTAAGAGCTGCTGGGCCCAGCAGCAGTTCAGCTTGACAGAGCTCCACAATCCAAAGGTGGTTCCGTGAATCTCATTTACTTTCTGACTGTCAAATGGGACAAGCGTGTATTTCTCAGGAAAGCCTTCTGCATACATACCTCAAGTGTAAATGGGAAGATGTTAGTATATCTGTTTGTAAGTTAGGAAGTGTTTCTCAGCTTTTAATTTCCAAATAGCTTGATATGATCTTTTTATTACGGGTTATCTTCTGGCTCGCTGTTTTATACACTCAAGGAATCGTTACAATTGCATAGGAGTAATTCTGTTCTGCAGTTATTGAATTATTATGATCTGTTGGTGAATAAGAGTTTGTTTTAATTAGTGTACATAAAAGTGGTCATCACATTGCCAAATATCAAACAACAATAATCTATTAGGTATTCTGTGTTTATCCAAAATGGACTCCCAAGACTAATGCTATACCAACAACAAAAAAACCCGAAATTCATTTCTGATGATGAATGGACAAGAATGTTCTACTTTCTGTTGTATGAAGCAAATTTTACAAAAGTTGATTGGCAGCAGCATCCGTTACCAAATAACCCATTTGTTGTAGGGAGTAGAAAAGCCTTGCTAAACTGACAAGTAAGGAAGAAGCTAAAGTATCAACCCAGAATCTAGCTCACCGGACAGTCATTCTTAATATCTTCTGCACCAAGTCCTCTAATGACTTGTATTTTTTAAACAGGGTAAAGTGAATGTGTTGCATTGCAAACTCAGGTATTATGAGAAGGTAGGAATGTAGCTAGAGACGTAGAGATGTTAGGTCAGTCACTAGATGTATTTGTGAATTTGGTTTGAAGGACGCCCTGGAAAGGTTGGAATTTTTGTTCCATTCTTCACGTAACATTCGGTTTACAGGGACTCATATTTTATTTGTGCTTAATGCTAGTAGGGGGAAGTTCATTATCTTTGGTATCTATCTGCTCTTGCTTATCTGACCTTCTGTCATAGAGGAATCAATCAACAATAATAGTCTTTGGTAGAATTTTCTGCTGTGACAAGTCAATTTTTACCCCGATTTGAAAGATAAATTGGCTGACTGACCCCCTCCTCTCCTTCATAGCATTTGTGCAGATGGAAGGCTGAAGAGTTACTTTTAATCCGAACAGAGATTTGGGACATAAATACGAAGAGCTCAGGCTCACACATTCAGATGGGCTCTGCTGAGGTGTCCTGATTGCTGTTTTACAGGTTGGAACTGGTCACCCTGTGCAGAGAACAGAGCAGAAATTGCTCCAGCTCATGGGGCTGAGTCCCAGTGTGAGTGGGCAGTCCCTGGGACCTGAACAAAAGCTTTTTGAAAGTAACTGGGTTTTCTTCCACTGTCTGCCTGTGGGTCAGGCTGCTGAATCTTGACCCCACTGTGTGTGTCAGTAGTGAGCCCTTGTCCTCAGCATGCCTGGCCCCTCGAGAGGACTGGGGGACCAACCAGGACATTCAGGGATGCCAAGTACCTGAGGAGGGCAAAACCAGTGCAGCAGGAGGGAACTCTCCAGCCGTTTTGCATATGCATTAACTACTTTCTAATTGTTAATAATGCAGTGGTGCTCATCATTCCCATCTCTTGCCTGCTAGCCCGTAGAGCTGTGCAGAGCCACTGCGCGCTCTGGGTCAGCGCGGTGCAGCTCTGGATCCTTCTGTAACTCAAATCCTGAGCTGTTGCTGTCTCCCATCACACAAAGACTAAAGAGAGAACAGGGCATCTCCAGGGTGATCAGTGCAAAGAGATCAGTCACAGTGATAACTGCAGGAACACCCATTTTCCTGGTGTGCTGGTGTTACTTGGACTGAGGCTATGAGAGTCAGCAGAGCCTGCTCGCTCTGACAGTGTGTTTGCAGGGCTGCTTTGCTCACAGGGCGAGTCCTGGGTGGTTGTGCCCTCACCCTGCAGTAGCCCATAAGGCTCAAGCTCACATCAGTGCCACTTGCTGCCCGTCCCTCCCTCTGCCGCACACATCAGATCTGCCCTCGCTCTTCAGGCCTCTGCACAGAACAAAACCACCTCAGGTGCAGGAGTTTTGGTCTTGTCCTTCAAACCAACCTTTTTTCTAAAGAAACTTGAATTTCTTTTATCTTTACTACATTTTCTTAAATGAAAAAAAAAGAAAAAAAAAAAAGCTCTCCTGTGAATGTGCTATTTACCGTTCATTCTTTCTTCTTTCTTGGTTTTAATTTGAAGCTATGAAGCTTGGTGTCTGTGAAAATGTTGTTATTTCTCAGGATAATAAGCGGCAATCATCCCTGCCACATAAAGGGCAGGAGAAAGGGGGAAACTTGGGGAACTAGTTTAAGTATGAAGCTGATTTTTAAGTTGTAGATGATGTGTAAATCAAATGCATGGGATGTCAGTATCAAGCCGTGGTGTTTCTCCGGGTTCACGGTGTGTTGTTTGCAATGCACAGAAGCTCAGGGATAAGTATTTAAAATGTGACCCAGAGAAACCCTGGTTTTGATGTTGCAGCAGTTGCTGCTTTCATGACTTGTTTGGAGGACCCAGTAAAAGCTGAATGAAGCCCCATGTAGAGATTTCAGGGGGAAAGCTTTCACTTCGGCTTGTGGGAAGTTTGCCTACTGAAGGCTTAGGTGGGCTCTAGTGTTTGAAGCATCCCGAAGGAGCACGTTGCCGTTTGACCTGTTGCAAGGGGATTTGCATGGAGAGCAGGTTTTGGTAACCTCACACTCCTGCTGAAGGCACACCAGCTCCCAGGGCTGGGAGAGGTTTGTCTGTATTTCCACATCCCCTCATCCTTCTGCCTTACGTGTTTGAGTGCTCGTGGACAAGGGGAAAATGGGAATTTCCCAGTATGTCCCTGGCAGCCAGTTGCAGAATTTCCTGCACTCAGTTTGTTGCTTATGAATTACAGCATCTTCGTTTCCAGTCTGTACAGCTTTAGCATTATGGGTCAGTCAGGCTGTGGACTGAAGAGTAACCCTGGTTCAGTTACAGCTGATGCCAGCACTGATGAGAGTCAGGAAAAGTTTGCAGGGCCCTCTCAGTGGCCAGGACCTGCAGATCTGAGTTTGAGCCAGCCCTCCAGAGAGCTGGTGGGGCCAATCCAGGCAATGCCTTCCCCTTGAAAAAGATGAAATTGAAAAGAGCTCATGCGCAGCTGACCTCTAACAAGTCTATGAAAGAAGCAACATGGTTCAGTGGAAGAAATGCCCCCAAGGGCAAAAAGAAACAGAAATTGAAACCAGATGAGATCAACCTTAACAAAGCCTTTTGTGATTCATTGTTTTCTTTCAATTTATAAAATGTCTTGTAATAGTTGATAACATTATTGACTCAATTTCCATAACTAAACTACCTCGTGTGACATCCTGTTTATCATCTCAAAGGGATTGTGTGAAAAACAAAATACTGACAGTGTTTGAAGAACAGGGGAGTGATGGTGGAGTTCTGTTTCCCTTCTCGTTGTGGCTTGGTTCCTGTTACTGCCACAGCATTTCAACCTGTGGGTGATGGCTTTGACTTGGACTCCCAGCCCCCAGGAAGGCGTTGGGCTGTGCACACCGTGCTCTCACCCAGCACTGATGTGCCAAGGTGGTGACCACTGTGGCCGCTGCCACAATGGGCCACTGTTCACAGGGTGAGCAGTGTCCTGTGGCTGTGTGTGACAGTGTCCACAGGGCAGGACATGGCTTTTGCCAGTTTGGCTTTTGTTGGTGCCCATCGAGCCACTGTTCCAGCGCTGTCCTGGTGCAGACACGATGCAGAAGTTGCATTTGTAGCCTGGGACCTTGCAGAGCCCTCGTGTATGTCCTGGGCATCAGGGTGCTGCAGGAGGAAATGGGTCCAGTTTGCTGCCATGTGCTTGTGTCAGCCCATTGCTGGTCTGCAGGATGTATCCAGGATGGGTCGGTCCCAGTCTTGGGGTCCTTCTGCTGCTGTTCCAGGTGATGGTTTCTCCCAGTAAAACACTTCATTTTTCCCACAATCCCTTGTGTAAATCAGGGAAGCAGGATGTTGCCTCGGCATGACACACGGTGAACGTTGGCACGCTCAGAGCCGGGGCTGGGGCAGGAAACTCTGTCCGGCCACTGCCACCCTCACCCACAGCATGAGGAGGTGAGGAGCCCCGTGTGGCACCTCTCAGGAGCTGCCTCCCTGTCACTACACTATGACCAAATGAATGTCTCTGCTGGCACGTCTCGGGCATGCCATGGCACAGCCGGTCCCCCTGCTGCAGTGGGACTGGTGCGGGTCCGTGTCAGCCCGACCTGCCCCTGCTCCGCTGCTCTGCTCTGTGACTTGACTACCTGTGGAAATGTGACCAATAAGTGTTGAACGCATGTGTAGCGAGTGTTAGCTGTATGAACTAATAAATGTGAATTGTTCTGCACTGGTGGTGTCTGCTCTTCGCTTGAAGCTTCCTTTTCAGCAGCGTTTTTCACTCGGTGGGGAGGCAACATCAGGGGGATGGAGCCCAGAGCAGCACTGGGTGCTGCAGCGCTGCTGTGCCCTGCCTGCTGCTATCTTGCCATGTAGCAGCCAGGGCTGGAAGCGTTTGTGGGTCTGGGGATGGCCATGGTGCTGTTGGGAACCCTGCTAAGAGTGGGGCTGTCTGCAGGAGGCTAAGTGGCAGGAGCAGAAGCAGAGGGGGGTCCTTCTGCAGGGGGGATGAAAGGAGTGGGGGCAATGCAAAAAGTGAAGGTCTTCTGGGCCCTGCCATGCAACAGGCACCCGGTGGTCCCCTTCCCCTTCTCCCAGAGAAGGCAGGAGGATGGGGTTTCTCCTTTAGGTCACCACCAAGGTGCCCACCATGGCACACAGGACACAGCCACGCCAGCGCTGTCACCTGGGACGACATGATGATCCTGTCAGTGGGATGGCCAGAAGATGCAGTGGTTCGGGTGGTCACCATCACCGCAGGGAGCAGCAGCAGGAGACCCGTGCAGCAGAGGCTGCTGCAGGCAGGAGGCATAATGGGAACAGGCAAACACACCAGGAATCCTTGACCAGCGTACTCCGAAGAGAAACTGCAGAAACCATTTAGCAATCTCGCGTGTCACCGAGGTGGGTGCGTGTTAAAGACTAAGAAGCACTTTACATATTTACATTTCCATGGGTATTAGGGAGCACACGCGAAGGCCCACTCAGGGAGCCGCAGCGCTGCCACAAAGGCGGCTCCAAGTGAGCAGCAGCCCCGAGCTCCGTGGCTCTCTCCCACGGGGCTGCGCTGCTAAACCCATCAGAATGCAAATTGTTCCCTTTTAATGTGTAGGAGCTCTTGTGCTCAAGTGTTTAAGGTTTCCTCCCCCCGCCCCTTATTTTATTAATGGGAGATTCTATAGCAAAGAAATGGCAGTTCAGCATCTGCCTCCTGGCACATGGGTGCAGTCCTCCGTGTATTTCTCCTGAGCTGAAGGATTTTGTCCCTGACAGAGCTCCTGGGTTGGAACATGGAGCTGTGGGATCGTGATAAGCACTTCTTGTGTGGGGCAGAGCCTGTCCCCAGCCTCAGAGAAGTGCAGAGTGAGACCCTGCTTTCCTTCGCTGGTTGTTCCTGGGGTGTTTTCTTTGCATCACTTGCCCCTTTGCTGTGTCCCCAGCTTTGGGGGAGCCGGTCTGTTGCTCCACCAGCACCATACCTGCTCCCTCCCTGCTCCTTCTAGAGGGTTTCTTGCATCCCAGCTTCCATCCTGGCATGAGTCTTGCTGCCCCGCTCCTCTGCCAAGCGCTCTCATGTCTCCTCTCCATCATGTTAGTTCTTTACAGCAGTTCTCCTCCTCTGTGGTGCAGCTTGAGCAGCTTTAACACTGGATTTATTCCCTGTAAGGGAGCCCTGAAGGCCAGCAGTGGCAGAGCTCCCCAGGAGGTGGCAGAGGATGCTCCGCACACGTGGGGCAATGGGTTTGTCCTCACCTTCAAACCAAGCAAGAAGCAATGGTGCATCCTCTCCCCTCTCCCCTGGCTGGCACAGGAGGCTGCCTGGAAAGCAAGGGTGGTGTGGGAAAAGTACCAGCACATTTTAATTTCCAGCTCAACCTCTCCTGACCACTGTATTTTGATTAGAGCTCTGCTTCCTTTTCATCTCGGTGCTCGGGCTGGTGACAACTGCCACAGCCTCGTGCACGCACTGCAATAGTTTATCACCGAAGGCCAGCCGCTCTATGAATTCAGAGCCAGCGCTGAACAAATCACGCTGTCACTAACGTCAAACTTGTTAACCTGATCTTTGGTGGATCACTAGTGTCAACATTGCACGGGACATACATTATCGGGCCCAAGGACTTTGGGAGATGTGTTTGTCAGGCTGCTCTGTCACAGTCCCACTCTTGGCCTTCGGAAAGTAACTTTCAAGGATAAGCTGCTTGCCTCTTCCAAAGAGTTGCTGTCCCCAGGAGTGTCACCCCACGGCCACTGGCTGGGACAGGGCTGCAAGGGGAGGCTGGTCACCATGCCTGCAGTGCTGGTGTCAGCCAGCAACAGGGGAGGGCTCTGTGCGGATGGCTGTGTGCATTGTCAGCAGGGCTGGGCATGGATTGCTGTTGATGTCCATCACTGACCATGTCTATTCCCTGAGCTTCTCCCTGTCTTCTCACCAACTGCTCTCACATCTCTTGCCCAGTCACTATCACTGTCACTGGAGTTCAAACCTGAAAACCAGTCCATTGCACGCAGTAGACTGGTGGGCTGCCGTTTACTGGACCATCACAAGTCTCCCGTGTTGGTTTGCCAAGTTCAGGTGCAAGAATCGCTCATGGTGTTTCTGACAGGGTTGATCACTACTGTGGAGGTCAGATGAAGGATGGGCCACCATTGCCAGCATGGTAACAGCGCGCTCAAGAGGTAAGCTCCTGCTCAAGCTCCTGGGGGTGATGGGTTCTGTGGTACCTTTGCTCAGGCTGGTAGCATCTCCTCCCTGCAGCTCCAGCCTGTGGTCCCACAGGAGAACGGGACAACCCGGGCATCCTTCTTGGGGCTGTGTGCTGGTGGGTGAGCAGGTAGGACTGCACCAGAGTAGGTGCAGCTCACAGCCGGGGGGACCCCAATGCGAGTGCAGGATTGGAGCTCCACATCACTGTCCCTGTGGGCCGACCCCTTTAATCAGCTGTGAAAGAGAGAGAGAAAGCTGGAGAGAAATCTTTCTCTCTGCTAACCTCATCACAATAAAGATTCCTATAAAGAGCTCTTATCCTTGAAGAAAATGAGGCACATAAGCAGGAATAGTAAACAAAAGGCTGTCATTTTGACCCAGGAGTGCTTCATGTTGTTGGCAACTGCCAAGAGGAAGCATAAAGAGAGTCTGCATCCAAGTCCCAATTATGCAGAACTATGTGACTGATATGTCAATGAGTCCCCCCGGGGAGGAGACCACCAGCGCTTCCCGGCGCTGCCTGTGCAACATCTGCACACGCCGCCCTGCGCGGGGCCCGCCTGAGCCCCGGGGCGAGGCGTGCGTGGCATCGGAAGAATGCGGGGGACAAGGTAATGTCACCGGGAACGCTACCACCAAAGCCCCCGCCGCGCGCGCGCTCTCGGCGGTCAGGGTCTGCGGGCAGGCGGCGGGCTCTGGCACACGGTAGTGCTGACCACACCTGCTGCAGGCACGCTCCGGGAACGTGGCGCAGGCAGGAGGGCTGCCCCGCCGCCGATAAGCTGAGTGGATGGAGATAAAATCCCAGGAAGAGATATGCTTTGCTGAGCATCAAGGCTACGCACCAGAAAGGAGCCAAAGCACGGCGGCGGCGGCCCGCAGCGGGTGGTATGGGTCCAAGGGCTCTGGCTGCGGCACAGCCACGCCGGCCCCATGGCCCAGACACAAGGAGATAGGGTAGGGCAGTCATGGAGTCATAGAATCAGAGTGGTTTGGGTTGGAAGGGACCTTAGGATCATGCAGTTCTAACCCCCTGCCACAGGCAGGGACACCCTCCACCAGGCCAGACATGCTGGTGCCTGAGCCCATCAGGG